AGCAGTGAGAGTAAGTGCTCTGAGCGCTACAAACACCAGGTCGAATCCCAAGTCGTAAGGAGAGAGACCGAAAGCACCAGAATGAGGGATTTATTGTGCACAGAACCCGGAGTTGTCCTCTCAGGTGGCAGTGGCCACTGGCGAAGCCAGAGCTGGTGTTGACTGCGTCCAGTCATGCCTGAGAGCCCCTGAGATAGTGGTGGCAGCTGCTTTCGTAGGCTGGTGGGCCAAGCTCAAGTGGTTTACAGTCAGTGTGCGTAGCATTTGCCGAGGGGTGATGTCCCAGTGGCTTAGGTTGTGCTTGCAGGGGGGAGGTGCGCTTAAGTGGCCGCATGGGCGGCTGCGTCTGTACGGACGCAGGTATGCCCCCGCTGTCGGTCGTGTGACTTCAGGTCAGCGCGTCTGGAACGGCTCACTGCAAAGGGCTGAATGGCCTTGCGGCAGCGAAGTCTTAAACAATAGCGGCAGACCGGTCATGATGGCTGGCCGCCACAGCATCCATTTGCAGACTGTTGTAGACATTACACTACCAACAGCAGCGCCTTCCCATGACCTCAAACCATTACTCAAATTCCCTTATTTTTTGAGGTTTGCTTTTCGTGTACCGTTGCCTTCTTTTGAATTGCGTTTACTATTTCCAACGTTTGTCCCGAATCCGCAGCTCCTTGACAGTATTTTTAGACACGCAGTCAAGGGATAAGCGCCAGAAGTTCCGCTATAACTAATAACTTAGGTGCATTTGGTCCGGCTTGGATCATGTCTGATCTAAGCGGCCTCAATGGCGTTGTGTATAAAACCTCTCCACGCACAATGATTTGCGGATGCCGGTCTGGTGAGATTGTGGCGCCTAAGCGGTGAACGCACCCAAAGCGCGACAGTCAGCGGGCCAAATCCCGAGTTGTTGGAAAAAACAGAAATCCCCAGATCGGGGGCTTTACTGCAGACAGAATCCTCCTCTCAGACGGCAGTTGTCGCTGGCGCAGCCAGGGCTGGTGTGACTGCGTCAATTTATGCCCGAGGGTTCGTTAGGCAGTGTTGGTAGGTGCCTTTGTAGGCAGGCGGCTTGTGGCTAACAGGCCCAAGTGGTGCTGTGTTGCATTTACCGAAGGGTGGCCCATTCAAATGGCGCACCGGCAGCTGCGACTCTGTGTGGACGCACATGCGTCCGAGCTGAAGTCGGTCGAGTGTCTGCAGGTCAGCGCGTCTGGAGCCGCTCGCCGCGAAGGTGAGTGACCTTGAGTCAGCTGGGCCTTGAACAGAGAAGCCAGACAGAGCGTTGGCAACGGTCGCCCGCCAGATACAGAACGAAGTAATGGTGTCGAGCGAGCGGAAAGCAGTGAAATGGGTAAATTGATCCAGTGCACATGTGGGCTTGAGAGCGTGTTTTGATGACAGGAGAAGCTCGGACCGCGTACGAGGGTCATGCTGCGACCTGTGCTGAGGTGAAGTTGGTGTGTCAGCCATGGGTGTGCTGGCGTGATCTCTTCAACGTGTGCCGTGGAGTTCGCGTGTTGGTATGAGAGGGAGAGACATTTTGGACACAGTGTATCTTAGCGAGGACTGAGTCAGACCAACGCGTCAGTGAAATAGGCCCACTGTCGTCTAGACACAAAAGCTTGGATAGAATGTAGTCTCAACTACTTAAAAATTCACCTATGCATACGCATTGGCATGGTTAGTACAAAAAAAATGATTTACGGATGATGGATTCGTTGGTAATTGGTGGAATAACGTCCTGGACAAAAGAGAGGTGTTCGGATGGCAATACATTTGGACGACTCCTCTGCTCAATCCGACCGAGGTTTGACCTGGACTTTTAAAGCTGAATTTAGTTGATAACGTCCATCTGGATTCGCGATAGGATGTCGGCAATTGCGTTTTCCTCTCCTTGGTTATAATGGCTGGCACAAGAAAGCCATCAGGATGAAGTTGGGTAAGAATTTCATAGCGCCTGTGCTCAGCAACGCATGGAAGTTGCGTGTTCGGATCCCGTCGGGGTTACCAATTCGTGAAGCCTAAGCGGTGAGTACTCTCAGAGCGCTACAAGCTTGTCGAAACGCTGTAGTCCACAAGAAGAAGGTTTCCCATAGCAAAAGTCGTGAAAACGGAGTTAGTAGGACAACCTTTGCTACATCAAAGGAGCACACAAACGGTTCAGCAACAGCAGTTGCCTCTTTAAGCCGAGAGACAGCCGCTGATGTTATCAGTCCCGGCGTGAGGTGCTCGCGTGCGTGCGTGCGAGTTCTGTCCGACTGCGGCTAATCGTTGACACCGATATCGATTGGCGTCAGGCCAGAGGCTAATTCACGAACACTGCTGGCATTTGACTCGCAAAGGGATTTCGGTGGCTGTCACCACGCCGAGCAGACCGCCCCATCTCCATCACTGAAATTCTGAAATATGTTTCCGATTCTAAAACATAACCTAGAAGGGTTGTAATATTAACTATTATGTGACCAAATCCTAGGATATTTCAGTCACGCCACGGTGCTGGCTTTTGAATGAGCCTCTTTTCAGCCACCTACAAAAATTACACTCTGTAAAAATGACTACCTAATAAGTACTAATATTTCGCATTGATTTCCGATGTTCTTATAAATTCAGTTATGGTGCATAGAAAAAGTGCAGGAAAATATTATTTGGCAGGGGTCGGGTGAAGGGCCCCAAGCGTCCGTGGCATACGAAGAATGCCTACTATACTTATTTAAGCGGGTCTTAGTCAGACACGATTATTTCGATTCGGTGTTTCATAGTACAAGGCTGGCTCGTCTGTTATAGACGGTCCGGTGCAGTATATTCAATGAACACAGCTCACAGAGTTGATAGTACTCTTTCTTGTACTTATTTGGTAGCAAATTGCATCTTCTCTAAATTCCCTATTTGAAGAATGAGTGCCTTCTGGTTTTAAAGAAGCTTCTAATTATCAGAATTTTTAAGACCGTGAGATGTCCATTCACACAGCGTCTTGTCAGCAGGTTTATTGACGTTTCTCATAAAGTATGGAGCCTGGTCCGCGTCCACTGCACGGTTTGTGAGTGCTATATGCCACTTTCCTCATACCGTAGAGAAATGCGTGATATTCATTTGATATAATTACATTTAAAAGGGCATCGGAAATCAAGGTGTCAAATACATACTTCATAAGTAGTCAGTTCTTTCGGAGTGCAGTTAATCCAGGCGGCCGGAAAGAAGCTCATTCAAAAGTCGGAATCCTGACGTGACAGGAATGTCATGGGAATATGTCGCACAAAAATGATAGTACAACCCTACCAAACCAATCTCTTTGGATCGGAAACATATTTCAGAAATTCGATTTTCATTTTATGATACGGAAGGGAGACGGTGGTGAATGTGTCCAACCAATGCGTCTGCACCCATCTGCACGATGGGTGTGTGGGAGGGGGGGGGAGTGCGGGATCGATGTTGTGCAAGCCTCCCTAACCAAGATCCTTCGCACGTGTAGATCGTCAGGTATAACGGGATACATAGGGAGCTGGCATCATTTTTCCGCTTTTTGGTGGTGGTGGTGGTGGTGGTGGTGGTGGTGGTGGTGGTGGTGGTGGTGGTGGTGGTGGTGGTGGTGGTGGTACCACTTTGAAAATATCAATGTCCACGCTGTTTTAGTCAGCCCGACTGTGAGACCTTTCGAACTGGCCTATCTAATCTAAGCCTAAAACATAACACACTGGCTCTTAATATCAAGAATACTCTACAGGATTATCCTAATAATTCTGAATCCTGTGAACTGGTATTTCTGGCATCTAAACCACAGTAAATTTTCACTACAACCTAAGGTGACAAACCGATACTCATTTTCACATATTGATCATTTCCCTTGAACTCGATATTCAACTCAGCAGTCGATCAAGAAACCCCTTCTGCCAGAAAAGCAGGCTGAAACTCCAAAAATTCGATATCAGCGATTAAGATGAGTGGCTGGGAGATGACCATTTCTCAGTCTTAACTTATTAAAAAGCCTTCCACTTGTTTGCTGTCTCTTTAGGTGATCTGGGCTACAAGACTGCCGACTTTGGACTTCATGATTGGCTTTCAAATGATTCAAGGTTGGGAACACCGGTGGGGAATCCCCAAACGCTCGTGTGACGGCCCGTTTGGCGTGGCAACAGCGACCTAACCTCCCTTGCCAGTTGACTCTTGCCGCGCCAACGACTCAGTCTTCAGCTTGCCAACATTGTAGCGGCGATCGATACTTTTCCTTAGACGACTGACTTCAGCCGGACATGGTTTAGGCCACTCCCACGCTTCCCGCGGACGGTACGACACCAACGACCGCCTTTTGGTTTGATTGACCTATTGCTCCCGTTTTATTCTGAGCCGCTTTTACGTTTCAATGCAGCAATAAATTTTTGTTTTGTGGCAGTCTGATCCCGCGATCGCCAGTATCTATGTCGCCTTTCTGTCCGCCTTACTCTCCCCGTCAACTCGCCGCTGGAGTCGCTTGCGAAAATAGTTTTCTCCCATTTTTGGCAGGGGGTCATCAAGAGAAATGTATTTGCATCGACCGACAGGCAGTCCTAAACATCCTACTATTTCGGGCTTCACAGCAAGGTCCACTTTGGTCGGCCGTTGGGGTCTGCGCCCTCCTCTTCGGATACGGTCTTTGACCTTGCCTATGCTTTCGGAAGCCCCGTTGCCCTAGCCTTCGTCCCCGGCCGGTCATTGCAACCGTTCTGGTAAGTCATTTGCCGGTGTGGCATTTTTACCTGGCCTGTGCTTTCGCTGATAGCCATAATGATGCCACCCGTCGTCTTCGTCCATCGTCCGCCTTAGCGCGTCGGGGTTAGTCGCCTTCCCTGAGATATTTACTTGGCCGTACTGATCTTACGCTCCGACCGACTGCAACTTCAGCACGCGCGCATGCAACGGCAGTTCGACCTACGATTCCGACTATGTTTAACGTATGCTCCACATCAAGGTGAGAGCAGGGACGGTGACTTGTGCGTGAACTAGTTTATAGTGATAGTAGACTTGTTCGGCGTCTACTGCACCCTCTCTGCCTCCTCTTCCTCCTCCTCCTCCTCCTCCTCCTCCTCCTCCTTTTTCTCCTCCCCACCTGGACCCGGTGTCAAGGCAGAGTCAATAAGACCGGAGGCCGGGGAGGGCGGAGGTGGATGGCACGGTCCAGTCCGCACCTTGGCGCTCCAATCCACACCCCCTGGTCCACAGAGCATATCACCAGGTTTTTAACCGACAGTAACAATGGGGGACGGCAGGGGTCCCAATGTGCGCGACGTCTGCCGGCAACCGGGTCTGTCACTGCACCCCGAAATGTTGGCATTTGTTATGGTGAACAAGTCGGATAACACCTGCCAGAATCCGATACGGCCCTCATGTTGGTCCAGGGCATCTACCACGTGGCCCGTTTGGGGCATATATGCAACATACGAATGCAGCACACACATAGACACACGCATGCACAACTGGGACACAAGATCCTTGAAGTCTTCTTCTCACAAACCCGTAAAAACAGAATGTTATTACCGACAAAGACAAGGGAGACTGGAATGGCCTTTTCTGCCTTATTAGCCGTCGTCAGCCAGTCATACCCAACCCCGAAGTGGAACACCTGGTGCTCGAACTCATGACCTGCTAGTTAGAAGTCCAACGCCTCTAACCACTGGGCTACTGCCCGTTGTCCTGTCGGTTTCGATCGGGAATATACGATGGTAGAGGGGCGCTCACCGCTCGTTCTTACGGAACTCACTCGTCCCGTACGGAACGAGTGTCTTCTGCCTTCTTCAACTGTAGACCGGAGCTTGGTCCGATGATTTAAGTGATTAAAGCTCATTCAAACGCTTAGCCGCCGCAATGCCTCAGTGCATTCAACCTCTGACTCAATATCGTTCCAGACTGCTGTTCATCAGCGGTTTTATCGTATCGCAGTAAGTGTACATGACTCACCAGCTACCCTAACGTTTTCCCGAAGGCGGAGAAGTCGTCTTATAAGTTGCTTTGAGCATTCATTTGACCCAATTGTGAGAAACTCCGTGATGTCGGTGAGATTCGGGCCCACGGTAGCAAGGACAAGGCTTCAGTACAGCCAGTGCTCTACCCCCTCGGGATACGAGGCCCCAACTGGCAGCCATGAGTTTAATCACATTTGGGTCAGGTTACCTGCCCAGTCTGCTGTACTGTATGGAATCCGCCAATCTTGATGCAGCAAACTGACCGCCCCGATGGTATTTCCCAAATAATCAATCTGGAATCCGCCGGATGACTATCAGGCCCACTTAATTGACGGTTGTTTCTAGCATATTTGAATAATTCATCTGATTCAGCTGTGGTCAGGGCGTTGGCTGTACTCGGGCTTTGTCCTTGCATTTGTTGATTTGAATCCCAACGAGGCTGCTGAGTTCGGTTAGATCGCAGTTGGTAGCCAGGCCCCCTATTACAGGTGGCTGGGGGGTTTGTTTACTGGGGCTGTTTTGTGGGGTTCCCTAATCCCATCTGAACCATTTGGCTTCTATTTTACGTCTGAAGTTAGGACTAGGGTACTGGTTAATGCTTTGCGATTTTCGGGTTAGGGTTATGCCTTAAAGGTTAGATTTTCGGGTTACAGTTAGGGTTTGAGCGTACGGTTAGGTTTTTGAGTTACGGCTATGCCTAAGGGCTACGGTTACGCTTACGATTCCGGTTAGGGTTAGGGTTCGCGTTAAGGTTAACTATTAACGTTTAAGGTCGGGGTTAGGGTTAAGGTCGCCGTCCGCTTCCCCATTCCTGGCTACCAATTGCGATCTAACCCTGAGTTCTTCACAAGTGGGCCACATGAATTATTAAAGTCTGCCAAAACACCTATTGATTTGATTATTGTAAAAAATATCTCCAGACAAACAGACACACAGCTCGAGGACGAGCGAACTGTATGTAGGCGGCGGCGCGCAATTCAACTCTCAGCAGAAGAACTTAGCGTCTCCCAACACCTGGGTTACTGTTTTTATAGCATAGCCGTGTCATTAGTAGCCCTGTTACTAACTTCAGGGTTGAATGACTCGCATGTGTAACTGAAAGTCCGATGACTCAGCGAGTGTGTGATCATTTCCATCATTTTAACTAAGACTCAACTGTGATGAGAGGTACGCCGGATTTTGCTTGTTAAGTGGTTTACAGATTTTAGATTTTAGTGAAAATTTTGTAGACCATACGGCAGATTTGTTAGCTCTCTTTATATACTGGAACTCAGCTAAAATTCTTAAGGTCGATATGTGCCGCCGACACTGCAATCACGGGACTTGCTGAGAACAAGCCCAGGATTCCAGAAATGGCTTGGATCACTGCACCTAGAGTCGAGTTACTGCCGCTATCGTCGATTCCAGAGAGGACTTTGCGTCCTGCAGGAATTCCAAGTTCTATGGCCCCAACAAAACACCTGCGAAGCCTGGCACGCCAGTGCCGGCACTGTCCTGCCTGTCATGTCGATCTTGACACGCAATTACGACGGCCTACGAGCACGAATCACAGGTCTTGCTAGCCCTCGCTGAGACGACACCTGCTGGCTCGCACCTTAGACGCCGCCTGCTCTTCCACCGGTAGTACGCTTCAGACGTTGCCTTCCCTGCTTCCTCCTAACGCCCACGCACACACCCTGTTTGTGGCTGCCCTGTCGTCCCCTCCCCCTGTAGAGTGACCATTTGTTGCTTTTGGCGCAGAGGCGGGAGCACGATCGATAAAAACAAGAGTCGAAACTTTCAGTGACGACAGCAGACCACGAGACGATTCCAGGAGAATGGGGGGGGCGTCTGCAGGTTTTACCACCGCAGCAGTTACGCGGATAGACGATACTCCTTACGCAAATGGAGGGGTGTCCTAAGTAGTCGCGGGGTTGAGCTTTGGATTTCTCACCAAAGTCGTCCAATGTGCATTCACGGGGCAGAAATTGGCCGTATAAAACGGCATTGAGGTCTCCAGTAAAGGTCACAAGCTTCTTCTTATCTTCATTTCTCCTGAGAACAGCTGCCTACTAACTTTGGATAATGCAAAGGTATCATACTTGTTGTTAACGGCGTGAACATTCTGTAGAGTCTTCACTCATTAAGCACGCTTTAGTGAAGCCGGCTCATGTCTGGGTAACCAGTTGCAGATGAAAACGAAAAAGAGTGAAGGTTCCAGGTCGAACTTTTCGAAGCTACTTTTCTTAGTTAGCTATCGCGACTCTCAGCTGAAATTGCGTACCGTGAGGCACAAGCGAGAGAGCTATTTTGCAGACTTCCACACTGCCGTTACAAATGCCGATTGCGAGAGTTTGTTTTACCGGCACGTGGTACCTAGCATGATGGCGCCGTTTCTCCTGTACAACCTAATCGACACTTTTAATCCAGGGTCACGAAAATCCCCACTGAAAAAGTTCGGAATGCAATTTGGCGGGCAGATGTCTGTTTTCGATAAATTCTATTTTCGCCTGTGCAACTGTACTACTACTGAAATAATTGAAAGATGCAGCGAGTAGGAACTCCTGCTGCAGATAGGGTGTGGGAGGGAGAAAAAAAACCAAACCTACAGTGGATGTCATTTGGAGGAGGGTGAGCATCGGGAAAGGTAATTATATGTGGCCGGCTGCCTCGGTGGCTTTGGGCCAGGACACTTTCCTAACCATGCTGGAAGATGTTCTCTTATAATTTTGAACAAACGCCGGCTTGCGTGAACAATCTATTATGCTCCACCGGAGCAACTGAAGAAGTAAATACACATAGGAGTGGTCTGGGCTGGCGAACTGTACATGAACATCTGTTGCTGGAAAGGTGTGTGATACCGTTTGACTTAGATGCTTCCTTTAAAGTTCGTCTAGTGCGTTCCCTTGAAATGAAGCTCTGATGACAAGCCTTTTCTTTACTGCCATCAGCATTTGGGGTTTTGGTGGTCTTTTGGCCATGCTCCTAGCAAAAAATCTTCCAGTTGAACTCCAGGCTCCAGATGCAGCGACTTCCCTTACATCGGATAAGATGTTCCGCGGATTCTAGCCGCATTCTCATCGACCCCTTTCCAGCCAAGTCATTCCGATAAAATTCACGCCTTTTTTGCACATTTGCTCAAGCCTGATGACGACCTGGGGAACCATCGTCGAAAATTTACCTAGTGAAGTTTTTACTTTCCCCAAAGAACGTATTTGCTTTCAAATTATATTTCTTGGGACGTCTACCCTACAATTTATACCGGAACGATTTATCACATCTTCGGAATGGGTGACTGTTCACCCGTCGTGTCTGACGATGTCCACTGTGTGCTCCACTGGAGGATGAGAGCAGGCACGGTGATCTGTGCGTGATTTCTTTTATGGTGATGGTAGACTTGCACAGCATCCGCCGCCCTTCCTCCTCCCCCACCTGGGTCCAGTGTCAAAAAATGATCAAGAAGACCGGGGGTTGGAGGATGCAGGTGGCTGGTGCGGCCGAAGCTGTCCCTTGGCGTCCACTACACCCTGCTCGGATCCCACTAGGTTGGACTGCCATAAGGGCCACATTAGGAAGGAGCCATTGCGGTCTGACTCTCAGACCACCAATCGGCCGCTCCTCACAAACACCCAACACTTGGCCGACTACGAAGTCCGAGTTATCCCGTCAGTTGGCAACCTTCCAAGCCACGGCTTTTAGCGCACCGTGATAGCTTCAAGCGCCTCAGATGGTTTACAGTGAGGAAGGTGTGTCGAGTCATCGACCTCGCTCTTTATTCCTATTCCCAGGTCCCAGTTACTGCCTGGGCCGGTTGTTTGACGCGGGGAATGACCTCATCTACACGCGCCACGTGCGCGACCCGGTCCCCCCAAACACAAGCACTGGGATGTCACACACCAGGGGTGGGCGGCATAAATGTCACATACGTGAGAGCACCAGGGGCGGGTAAACTTGACCCAAATGTGATTAAACTCGCGTCGTCCGGCGGGGCCTCGTACCTCAAGTGGTTAGAGCGTTGGCTGTACTAAAGCCTTCCGCTTACTGCGTGAGTTCGAATCCCACCGAGGCGCCGAGTTTTTCACAATTGGGTCAATATGAGTTATTTAAGATCTGCCAAAACATCTCTGAAATACGTCCTTCTTTTGGAATGCATTCGTTGACGACAGTTAACGCGGCTACTCATGTAAACAGCTCGTCAGATCCATATTTTGCACCTTCCGGACATCAGACATCACCGCTTACACGTTTTCACTCCGACCACCGGCAGTTCATTTGAAAAAAAGTGGTCTCACTGACCTACGGTTGGATCGTTTCTGTGCCCTCTCGACTAATTTTCGGTAACTACGCCAAGGTTCCAATATTTACCTCCGCGTACACCTCATTTATGTCAGTTCTACCGTCGCAAGCGATGAGGATCATAACTGACTCAGAGCGGGAACGGTGATGATTTCAGGAGAATTAAATCATAATAATGCGGACCTGCGCAACATCTACGCTCTCTTCCTCCGTATTATCTTAACGAGGGAACTGGAGATAGACGCAGCCGGAGTGCCCAGCGAGGCCGAAGACAGATGTGTGCGTTCCACAGACATACTGGTCCCCTAATCGCGTTGGGAGTCGTGGCCACAGCCTGGCTGGGTAATTCAGTCTTTCACGGGTTTCATATTCTAGTTGCTATGCCTCCCTCTTGAGGTGACCTGCATAGCACTCGCGCTTATCTGAGACCCCAGCTACTTGAGAGGAGAGAGAGAGAGAGAGAAATTCCCTCTATTTTGAAGGTATAGATTCAAAATGGCGTAATTATTTACCTTACTGACAACTCAGGTAGAAGCCAGAAGACCAGACGCGCGTGTTTCGCTGCCTGACGCAGCTGCGAGGAGTTCGCCTCATCAGTGGGTCCCCCAGCCTTTCCCGCGTGTTTTCTGGTGGATTTCAGCTCAAATATTCGTGTCAAATTTTGGTCCGTGCCTGAAAAGGTCTGTTCCTGAGGATTAAATCCAACTTCGCACATTAATTTCCTCGGAAATTAAACAGAATGCTGATATCCCGATGTACGGCAAGAGATATGTCGAAAGCCACGGCTCATGGGGCGGGAGGACCTTGCGGAGATTAGTTCAGAATGTAAGGGATGGGCAACGTCATCTAGTATTCGACCGTCAAATTGCCTGGCCGTTTTAAAATGTCGTTGTATGATAATATCGACTAAAAAGACATGTGAAACACCGGCAGCTGAAGAGAGCATTCGGGGGGCCCGTTCGAAAATTAACATATCTTTTTTGAGAAGAGTATTTGGCGAGCTTGCGCGTGTTTTCGACAAATTCTCATCAGACCTGTGCATTCATATTGGAAACGAAGTACAAACTGAGCATGCGAGTGATTACGGTTCGTCCATTCATACAAACGGGGTATGTGAACGGAGTGGGGGGAGGGGGGGAGGAGGAAGTCAGCGACAGTGAGGGTTAGGTTGAGCCGTGTCACAAGGGAGGGGGAGGTGAGGAGGTGGGGGCGCAGAGACCTGCATACGGTTAATCAGTCCTGGCCCACGGTAGAAACGGAACATGCAAGAGGTTCTTCCGAGCCTCACAGTGGCTACAAAAGTGGCTGCCACCACTGTCCCAGAGACTCTCAGGCATGACTGGACGCAATCAACACCAGCCGTGGCTTCGTCAGTGGCCACTGCCGCCTGAGAGGACAATTCTGGGTTCTGTGCACAATAAATCCCTCATTCTGGTGCCCTCCGTCTTCTCCTTCCATTATGGGATTTGACTTAATAACTGTAGCTCACAAACTACGCATATTCTCACTGTTGTGCCGCTACATGGACATCTGGGTGCTGCGCTACCTTTATAAATTTGTGGGGGAGACCTCCGGAGCCCTGTGCGTGCATTTCGTCGTGCAGTGCCTTGGGTCAAAAGGTCTGAAAGCGTGTGCTAGGCCAGTATCAGCAAACCATGGCCCTCGCAGCCTGGTATGCGCTGGCATTTTCCTTCCGGTAGATGCGCTTGCGCTCCTGCTGGCTATACGGGTGATGGACATGGCTGCCCAGTCATCATCCTCGTCCTTCTGACCCCTGTTGGGGTGCTGTTGTTGTTGGTGAAAAATCCTGGTCAGCTGTATATTCCGGACCAGGGGGTGTGGTGGCACGCCAAGGTGCGTGTCCAGCCGTGTCGGCCACTTGCTTCCAACCCCGCCTCCGGTCTTCTTGACTCTGTGTTGACACCGAGTCCAGGTGGGGAGTGGGGAAGTTAGAGTGCGGTATATGCTGCTGACTTCTACTACTATGAGCTAATTCACGCGCGAGCCACCGCGTCTGCTTCACCTTGCTGTGTATCACACGGTGGACATCGTCGGAATTGACGGCCGAACTGTCGCATCGCCTTGGCTATCGTGCACGTCAGTCAGCGAAATCTCTCGGACTGTACGATCAGTGCCGAGGGACGTTCGCCATGAACGCGAAAGACATTGGAAGGATAGGGCGTTTGGAAAATGTGTTTTGTCGGTCAGTTACAGTCGTTTTCCTGGTGGAAGTCTCCAGCCACAAAAAATGACTCACAACAATCACATTCGTGCAACAGATGTGTGAATAACCTGGACGGTGCTCCGCTGTTTTTCGCATTACTTTCTTTTCCGGTGGTGAAGCTCCTTGTTGCGCAAAATTTGGCTAGGGAAAGGCAGTTAAACCCCGGAAAAGTGTTCAAAGTTGGCAAAATTACGTACTGTGTTTCCACAGCTGTCTTTCTTTAAAAAAAACTACTGCGCATATATGCTGGCTGGTGCAAAAGGACGACCTTGCTACAAGTGCTGTTTTGCCCGGAATAATTTTTACGTCAACATCACGATACAATGCTTTTTTACTAATGCAGTCTGATGTAGAAATGTCAAGAGACTGAGCTCCGAACCTAAACAAAACAGAACGCATGTTGGGAGGAGAATACATGACCGAAGGTCAAACATACCGGAGCCTCCCCCGCGCCATGAGGCTGTGTCGGGTATAGTGGCGTAGGTTTTCTGGTCCAAGTGGATGATTTGAAAAGGCTGCTGACAATAACCCTCCATGCCTCCGGTGGGTAATGAATGCGGATCCCGACAGGACTGCCGCCCCCAAGTGGCGCTGGCGTTCACCGGGAGTCGGACGCTTTCGTCCCGGTGCATCTACGACCGCCAGTGCAGGGCGACTTTGTTTATTCCTGATCGCAGCCGCCGACCGGACACTGGACGGTGACCCTGGCTTTTGTCTCAGACACTGTTTTGATAAGTGCCCCGACTTCAAGTCGCAGGCCGGCCTGAGATTGGGCTATGACCACCCGATGGTGGCCAATAAATCAAAACTTTTGTGCAGCTTCCCTCACCTTGCTAGATAACACCTCTAGAGCACAGATATCTCAAGCGTGTTTGCAAACCTACAGTAGGTGGGCTAACTCATGAAATGTCAACCGAAATTCCGAAATGCGTTTTCGTTTCGAAAAGATTAATTAAGTAGAATTGTAAAACTAGTAAGCCTGCAACATAATTCTATAATATTTCAGTTACCTCAGGATGCCGCCTTCCGAATGAACTTCCCTCTGGCTGCATGCAAAAACTACACTCTGTAAAAGATGACAACTTAAGGAGCATCAAGTTTTCTCATTGATTTTTGATGCCCCTAAAAGTCCAATTATATTTCATGGAAAGCATGCACAAAAATATTCATTCTTTTGCACATTCAGTAGAAATCTAGTCTTCTTCTAATTTTATACTCGAAGGACGGACATAATTCGGTTTTAAAAAAGTTTCCAATTGAGGGACTTTTAAATGCCGTGAAATGGCCGTTCATAAGACGTCATGTCTCTGCATTTACCAATGTGGCTTGTAAAGTTAACAATATGGATCAAATCCACTGCTACATTTTATGAGCACTATATGATCCTCCTTTATTACCGTAGAGACATGTGTGGTTTTCCGTACGCGGAAAATATGCGGCTTGTAGTTTTGAAACTCTGAATCCAAGTGTAAGGGTAGAGTGGGTTCAAAATTATTCGGGAATCGGATAAGTTTTTGAAAACCGAATTTTACCCTTCCTTCGAGTATAAGATTGGAAGAAGCCTAAATTTCTACCGAATGTGCAAAAGGATGAATATTTTGTGCATGCTTTCCATGAAATATAATTGGACTTTTAGGGGCATTAAAAATCAATGAGAAAAATTCATGATATCCAAGCAGTCATTTTTTACAGAGTGTAATTTTTGCATGCTGCCGGAAGGAAGTTCTTTCGAAAGCCGGCATCCTGAGGTAACTGAAATATTATAGAATTATATTACAGGCTGACTAGTTTTACAACCCTATTTAATTAATCGTTTCGAAACAAAAACGCTTTTCGGAATTTCGGTTGACATTTCACGAGTTAGCCCATCTACTGTACCTAAAACTTTGTCATATCAGTCTGCTCGAAGCACTAATGTAAATTTTTCGGGCCACCGAATGAATTAACATCGGGCCGCGGTGGAGTGATTGACTATAGCTGTGTAAAAGATGCATTCTACTTACGCATATCACCGGACCTCTTTCAGGGCTGGAAGACAGCAGTATGTGGAGTCTAAGTGTTATCGAAAGCGGCGTTTCAAACTAATGAACTAGGTAATATGCGTGGATATTGGAGGGCAGCTGCATTCTGAAATGGCTTGAAAACACCTCGCATGATTTACCATACTGTCAGCGCAGCTGCTTCCTAGGGGGTCTGTAAAGGTTTGTCCCAAGGACTTAGTAGAAATTAACAAACTAATTTGTGACATTAGAAAGCTGAGTTATCGGAACTGGAGTATTTACCAAAAAGCCCAAGGGCAATGCAGGGAGACCTGCTGATTGGTCGAGCCCTTCGGAGCTGTGCCACGCTCCGACAGAATACCACCGAATCTGGTTTCTAAACTTTTAACTGGTTACCGTGGTGTCCGTATGGTATATCATGCGACATGTGTGAGCTGCTGACTGCCTGTCGGTTATCCCACTGAAACTGATGGCTTTTGGCGTAAACACTCCCATAAACTTCCTGATAAATTTTTGAAGGGTTAGTCCTGAAGGACTTACTCCAAGCTAACCCATTAATTTCTGAGGAGACTGAAAGCTGAATATTTATTTGAAATACGCATCTCTCGAAATGCCTTTATAGTTTTTTTTCAGAGAAACCTTCCCGAAGCTGAAATACTGATTTGCCAACTCTTGTTTGTGAGTAAAAATTTAGTGAGGAGTACAGGCTGATTGTACTACATTTTAAAATTTGCGTTTTAGCTGAATCCGACCAGAATGACTGCTTTCTTCACTGTCACTAATATGACGTTATTGCGGTTATTTGAGGCATTTACTGTACAGTCGTGAAAAAGTTGAAGTTAATTGCGTCACAAACCTCTAATGCCAGCGGTCTTCGCGCGTTTATACAACTTTGGTTATTTTAAAGTTGCGAAAATCCCTATGGAGCAATTCAGAAGAGCATTTGGCGAGCTTACGCGTGCTTTCGATAAATTCTCATCGGGCCTGTACATTTATACGGGAACGAGGTACAAACTGAACGTGTGAATGATCAGCGCAATCGATTACAGTTCGTCCATTCATACAAACGGGGTATGTGAATA